TCGCGTGGGGAAGGACCGCCCATCCGCTGGGGGCTGTCCACGTGGCTAGCGAGCCCGCGTGGCCTATAATACACGGTATATTGCTCGGCCACCTACTAACGCTTCGTGCCCGAGGCGCCCTAGACTTGCCTCAAGGGTGACCCAACTTGGCTGGCCCTAACTTGCTCGTCCTCGATCTCGCGTGCGGTATCCCTGGTGCATTTCCATGGCTGTTCGTCCTTGTCGTCATCCTCGTCCTGGTCCCTAGTAAATCCGTCCGTCCTCGACATCCTCACGTCCTCGAAGGTCTCGCACAGGTCCTCCTTGACTTCGGATTCGCCCAGACTTCCTCGTCCAGGTCTAACTCGGCGGCTTACTCCCCCCATGCACGTCTCGCAGATCTTCGTCCAGGTCCTTCACGGCTGTGCGCTCGTACAGACGTCCTCGTAATCTTCGTCAGGATCTACGGGCGTCCGGCAGGAAGCGTCCTCTTCGGCATCACAGGGCGGCTGATACCTACGCTGACGAGCTCCTGGAGTTTGACTGGATCTGCGGCGTCCAGGCAGGCGGCGCCCGTCCACAGCATCATGGGGCGACTGATAACTGCACTGGCGAGTTCCTGGTCATTCGCTGGATCTACGGGCGTCCTGGCAGGCGGCGCCCTTCCATGTCCTGGGGCGGCTTAATACCTGCTCTGACGAACATCCTGGTCTCCAGGCTTCTGGCGATCTTCTGATGACGTTTTCAATAGCTTCCGAAGGTGACCGTTTCTGCAGCAGGGCCTCCTTCAGTGCCGTTTCAGATATCGTGAACCAAGGGCCTAGATAGTAAGAGAAAAGAAAGACAACAGAGAAGAGGAGGTGTTAAATGCCACTAGCAGATTTTTGTTTTATAATTTGGAGTTTTTATGGTCGAATTTTCGTTATTTTCGTATTTTCTCATTTTACGTTTTACGTTCACAATGTTAAGGTTAAAAGAAGAAAATAGAGGGAGACGGCGTGTAGCGTCCTCAAGGACTATCTTGAACTACCAAACTGTCTCTTGATAGATACGACTGACAAAATCGCGGGCAAAGAAAGACAACAGAGAAGAGGTGGTGTTAAACGCCACTAGCCGAGTTTTGTTTTGTAATTTACAGTTTTTATGGTCGAATTTTCGTTATTTTCGTCTTTTTTTATTTTCATTTTGTGTTTTACGTTCACAAAGTTAAGGTTAAAGAAGAAAATAGGAGAGGGAGACGGCAGTAGCGTCCGCAAGGACTATCTTGAACTACCAAACTGTCTCCTGATAGATATGAGAATAAAGTAAGGGAAACGACAATTGGCAACACGCTAAGGTTTGTTTGAACCATGGGCGAAACCGAAAGAAAGTATGTAAAATACGAAATCATGTACAAGTCACACATCACGACTGATAAAATCGCGGGCAAAGAGATACGTACGCCTGCAACTATGACAGCAGCAAACCCAATTAATGAAGGTTTCATTGTCTTTTGTTCTGCATCATTGAGTGAGTGACTGTGTGTGTGTGTGTGTGTGTGTGTGTTTCACTGAGTGACAGTGAGTGATGAATGTCAAATGAAAGTGATAGTGAGAGTTGACCTGACACCGTAACCAAACACTGAGATTAACGTTCATTTTAACAACAATGTGACTAATCATTTATAGACATAATACAAAATTATTTCAACTACCATATTGAATTTAACATTAATGATATGCTACAGAATGTCGCATTAATGAATGGTGACATGAAAATTATTTGCAAGCTTCTTTGCGAGCGAATCTTCCCGGAACTGCCGAGGTAAGTGAATCTAAACTGCGCATGCAGACTTCACTGACGGGGGTCTGTACCCAAAAATGCCGTACTTTATGAAGCTAAACGAGCTGGGAAAATCTATAAATAATCCATTCCAACTGCGGATCTATGATGGGCGCTCATGAAATGCCCTACGGGGATTTATAATGAATCACAAACCGATGGGATTAACCCAAACATGCCATCGACATATAAAGGTGTGAGTGGGGTGTGATTAATTAAGTGGATCCTAAATCAGACTTAAACCCTAGTCCTAAATTAGTTAATGGACATAACTGCGGTCACACAGCTCAAAGTTTTGCCGAGTGTATGAATTACTTCGGTTACCTAACCTACTATCATTCGACGGGACGCAGGCCTATTATGCATAAATGCAACCTCAGTTATAAGGGACAATCCTGGCGTTAACTTCAAATATATGATTGTATACGATCGCGTTACAAGTGATGTTCGTGAAAAGAATGAAATCACGAACGCGCTAAATTCGTTGCAATTGAAACTATATAATTCTCGAATCACGAGAAAAATTAAATAAACACTTAATAAATTAACGATTTTCATAATGTTTGACTTCATACCCTGTCACACGGTAATGAATGATGTGAAGTCAGAAGAATGAGAGTGTGCCATTTGCTGTCAAATAACACACACACACACACACACACACACACACACACACACACACACACACACACACACAACCACACATACACACATACACACACACACACATACACATACACATGCACGTACACGTACACATACATATACATATACACATACATATACACATATATATACAAATACATACACATACACATACATACATATACATACATATATACATACATATACACATGCATATATATACATACATACGTACATATATACATACATATACACATGCATATATATACATATATACATACACATATAAATACATATACATACATATATATACATATATACATACACATATAAATACATATATATACATATACATATATATCATATATATACATATATATACATATATATGGCCCCTCAGCCACCCTGGGATTAATGGGCAGCTTGGGGAGGTGGGCCTTGCCAGTTCTCCTTAGGAAACTCACCGGCAACATCAGAAATAAATGGATATTGTGTGAACTGCAAATACAATCATGTCCCACAAAAATGTAGAAAAGTAGCGTCACTGCCCACCCGTTAATTTACGTATGGGGACGTAGTGTTGCTGTGGGAAGGGGAATAGTGTAGACATGAGGAAAGCAGCGATAGATTGTGTATGCGAGTGTAGTGTGTGTGTGTAGTGTACGTGTTGGATGCGGGAGTATAAAGGTTGGTAAGCGTGAATTTGAACCGAGGAGAGGCGTGTGCGTATATGCAATGGAGTAGTGTAATTAATGAGGCATTAAGAACCGCTTCAATCACTGCACTGGCAATCCATTTCCCTTTTAATATGGGTTTGGCGAGGGAAATTGCGACAAGCGATAGAATATTTATTGAAATAACGTAGTAAACACACTTAAAACATTAAAAGGTGTAAAACATGAGCAAAAGCAATAAAATCATTAAAAGCAATAAAACAAAACCACATACAAAGAACCCAAAAATAATAAATAAATAAAGCACCAGATCACTTTGTCACTTTCCGAATTAATATCAAGTCAAATGTCTCTCACAACCTGTATTACTACACTTCACGACCACGCTGTCTTTTGGGAAGCCCATTCCGGGGATCCCTGAGCAGTCCAACAGCTACGAAGACCAATTCCTGAATCCCCGTTGTCTGCCTTTGTACTTGCCCACATTGGTTTTTAGGCGTGAGAGGCATTGTGGTTCTTTCTTGGGTTTTTAGTAAAATTAACTTTAAAAGTAAGATAAAATATAAAAATAAGATACCTAGTATAATAAAAATATTAAAATAAGCATTATCGTAAAATAAATAAATAAATGAACTTATCATAAAAAAACATTGGGAAAACGTGGTACTTAGAAATTCGATAAAATTCAATAAATAAAAGTAGATATAATAAAAGAAAGTTACTATGAAATCTATTGAATTAAAAAGAATAAAAGCTTCCGGAATTAATAAGAAAATAAATAATCTTAAAATGTAAAAATAAATGGAATTCTCTTTATCATGTCGTTATACGATTGAGAGAGACTGATGCCATCTATATACAAATACATTATACATTCATTTTTAAAAAATGCAAATGATATAAAAAGCAGTGGTCCGCGGCAACACCGTCTTAAGCATCCTCCTCACTGGCGGGATAAGCGCTCGCGCCCTGAGCTTCGGTGGAGGGATGGCGATCAAGGTTCACATTGCCATAGTAAGGGGAGGTGTAAAGCAGTTCCTGGCAACGTGAAATCGCGGCTCCCGTATTGTTTAACGATGGTGTAGGGCAAAAAGTCGCCACGCCACGACTCCGCCAGGAGCGTGTTGCCACCCCAAGTTCGCCTTATTTTGTGTTGTGAGGTAATATTTCGCCTGTGGGAGAGTTGGAGGTGAGAGACATATTCGAAATGTATACCTCCTGGAGTGAGACGACGAGATGGATCCCAGTCGTTCACTACAATATGTTGGGGGGTGGGGTGCTGTGGGTCTCTTTGGGAGGGCAAATGTTGGGGTGCAGGATGGGAACCAGTTACTCGTTCTGCCTGCACCCTGGCAGGTGCCAACCTAGTATGAGGCCAAGCCCAAGGGAACCCCAAAGTGGACGCTGGTACCCACAGCCTGCCAACCCCCTTTACTTGGGGCAGAGTCGGTCGGGGTGGCAGAGGTGGCATCCACCCGGGGCGATCGTCTGAGGCTTAACCTAAGGTGAGCTATTTTGGTTAGGCGCTTGGAACATTCAGTCCTTACAGGACAAGTAGTTGAGGTGGCTGCCCATTCAGTCGATCCATGCATGCAGTGGGGACGTTGATGTGTTACTTGCATAATCCTGGATCGCCAACTCAGATTATATGGGCACCTAGCTAGTTAGAGATGGGCTGAGGGTCTACCTGAAGATTCACCATGAGGGACCGTCATGACTGGAAGCGAAGGATGGATGCAGCTGTGCGCCCTGTTGGCATTAGCCCATTGTTGACGATGGTGATGATGATCATCATCATATATATCATCATCACAACAGCCTTCTATTATAATTTACTGACATCAGTTCAAATAAACATTAAAGGAATAACAATACAACAAA